TTTTAATTGTAAAAACTTATGTTATGTACACATATATGCCTTAAAAAAATAATTTGGGTTTAAAATTTCTTAAAAAATAACACAATACGTGATGCGCTTGTACTTGGCGCCTTTTTTTACCTTTTTGTTTAAAAAGGTAAGTTTTATATAAGTTTTAGCTCGTAAAAGCTTATGTTATGTATTAAGTATACAATAATCATATATATATGTTATAAGGAACACGTGGAAATGGAAATAATTGAACGTTACTATTGGTAATTTTATATCCTCTGTGCTCTTTTGACTTTTTACAAATTTCTCAATTCGCATACATGTCGCGCAATTTGTCGAATGTATTTAAGACGAGAATTTCGCTGGAACTAAAAAATATTTTAAGCAAGATGTGTCATGGCGGGTGTTTATGATGTAAATTGAAATGTAATATATACTTCCTTTTCAGAATATTCCGGAGTGACTTTATACATATCCCGAACTTTTGGAATTTACCTATTCGTTCTCATTAACATCTCCATAATTGTCACAATTAACGGCGTACCGGTGTGCTCTATTGATGAAATCGTAATCTGGGTGTTATTTACGATAATAATTTGTCTTTTGCATCTCACATGTATATGATCGTTAATAATGCATCCAGATCGCTGGAATTGATTCGTCCCTATCTTGGATATGCGAATGTATTGTGGTCACCTTATTAAACGATTTATGTAAAACAGATTAAATTTATTCAACATAAATTCATTAGATTTGTCTCGGTTAGGCTAGGTCATTCCATGATCGTCCGTGATCATGACTACTTTCGAATGCTGCGACTTTTTAATTTACAAACATTGGAGTATCGTAGATATCTAGCGGATGCTAAATTCCTTTATAATATTACAAGTGGTAATATAGACTGTCTAGACTTACTCGCACTGATAAGTTTTAATGCATATTCAAGACCGCTCAGATCAGCTCCACTTTTTAGATCTCGGTTTTATAGGTCTAATTTGCTTTTTGTAGATATTATTACTCATATTTGCTACCACTCATGTCAATTTCTGATGTCTTGTGATTTCTTTGCGCGGCCCATAGAATGTCTAAAACGCTCTGCTATATCGGCATTGGATGACTTATAACCATGCTCTTTGCATATCTGTCCGCATATCTGTCTTAATTTATTATAATTTAATACTACATCTCTTTTTCCTTGCTGTACTTTTACAGTTATATAATTAATTTCATACAATTTGAATTTTTCTCGACGTCTCACGCAAATCAATATTATATTTCAGCTTTGTACGTTAAATGGGTCTAGTATTCGTAAATAAATAAATAAATAAATAAATAAATAAATAAATAATATAAATAAATAAATAAATAAATAAATAAATAAATAAATAAATAAATAAATAAATAATATCTTCATCCTTAAAACTGCCGCTTCGTAATAATTCATTTAATAATGTAATCTTTGCTGCCGTGTCTCCACTGAACTGCACGGAGTTTTTCGTCAGTGCGCTTCAATGTTTTCCGAAGTAGCGGAGTTCACCTCATCTCAATCGAATATACAAGTATCACTAAACTAGATTTGCACAGTTAAGTCAAAGACATTTTCACTAGCCACTGCTTGATGCACTTTCAATCGAACACACACAGATCCTGCACTATTGGAGGGTAAACCAACTGAGTACCAAGTACTAAGAGAGAGCGTACTTAGTGCGCACTGTATCCAATCGAATTCGCCATAAACTTATATGCAGCCGCGAGTATCCGCTTACACATTGTACGAAAATTCACGAGTGTCTGTGTTTGTATCTGTTCTTGCGTAAACGTTTTTTTAAACATTCGTCCTGTTCCTAAAGCATATTTCTAGATATTTTTTCACTCTAAATATTAGATCCAATTTTTAGTTATAATTATAATTATTGGATAATTTATAATTATTATATTTACAAGCAAATTTAATTATTTTAAATATTGGATGTAAATATTGGATAATCTCTAATTATATTTACAAGCAAATTTAATTATTTTAAATATTGGATGTAAATATTGGATAATCTCTAATTATATTTACAAGCAAATTTAATTATTTTAAACAGGCAATTTTGCGCAGTGAAATGCTGTTAGAGCTGTTGGAGCGTTTCTCTTTGATAACTTGCGAGTGGGCTCTCATGCTAACATGCAAATTTTACGCTTATATTCGTTTTTATTTTACGTTTATATTCGAAAAAATCTGACGCTTTTTAACCGTTCGCACACGTGAGCAATTCAATGCCGTTCTACGCTTACTGATATGTCATCGATAGGCAAGTAGACGTAGTAAGCATGAATGGCTTATGAGTTACGATAGAGCAAATGAATTTGTGGTCGGCGCTGCGACATCGGCGAGTGTCAGGACGATATACGCGCGGTGCGCGTTTTTAAGGCGACCCGTGCAGAGCCGTGGGAATCTCGAAATAAATTAATTTGAGTGTGGGATCAGTTTTTCAAAGAGCCACGGCGACGTGTAGGACCGGTGGGACAACCAGCCGGAGCGCCATTAGTTCTCATTATTTCCCCAGGGCGCGGGAGGGGATAAGCGGAGGACCGTTTATTTATTTCGCCGTCGGCTCGAAAAAGATACGCGGCACATCGTACGCGATGAAATATTGTACGCGCAACGGGCGATTCGAACTTTTTGGAAAATGGGGGACGGATGGAAAGGAAAAGAAAAGGGAAAAAGAAAACAATCGAGTGAAAAGCCGAGGAGGAAAGCTGAAACCGATCGTGTTTTCGCGATATCTATCGCATTTGGTAGAACCTCAGGAAAAAAGGCAAGCGCTTGCGCACACGCGACCCCTCCGCGGCGAATACGATTAATGCTTTAATGCCTTTTCGACGTTTCGCGACTGCCCGTCGATCAACTTTATCCCCCGTGCGCATCATAAGCGCGCGTTATCATCGGCGCGAGGCTCTTCAGTGAACAATTTTACCAAATTGCGGCGTGCGTGTCGTTTAGGGCGAAGCGCGCGCACTCGGTCACGGCTTTTAAAATGCGCTGCGGCGACGCTGCAGCGAAAATTGAAATATTTAAACCGCGTTAAAATGTGACCGCCGGAAATATACATGTATACGGCGCTATCTTTATTTTTTATTTAGTCCACGCACTTGGTCAACTGGAGCCCGGTGTAAAAAATTTAATATAGCACTTCGTAACAATATCACGCGAGAGCGTACACGTTTACGAGGGCTTGCTCTGGACGGAAACGATGACACTGGATGCACGACAAGCGTGTGATCCGGTGGCGGGGGGGGGGGATGGGGGCTTTTTCCATTTTGTTCATAACGTGCGAACGAGTTTCCCGTAAACCCGGTTTTTTATATATAAAAAAATAAATTATAATACACGCGCTGTCGCGCAGCCGTTGAGAGAGCGACCTCTCTCGCGCGGGTGGAGGGGAAGGGAGAGGGAATTATATACACGCATGTAGGCAGGGACAGAGAGCAGAATGGCAGCAGATTTTCTCGCGGACCGCTCTCGCGAGCGTTGTTTCTCGTTTAAATAAAAGCGACCGGCGACCGATCGTCGCACACCGACATGTTGCTTCTCGAGTAAAATTAATCTCGTGCAAAATTCACGTAGATGAATCCTAAGCCGAATAAAGTAACGATATTACTGTTCTGCTCTCGCGCGCGTTAGTCACAGCGACGCGTTTTCCAAGAGTTTAACCGTGAACGTTTAATTAGGACCCGGTTGTTACTAGGCGATGTGATTCGCCGCGCAATCTCGATCGCAACACATCAGCCCGATTCGCCGGCTGCCGCGTGACTCTTCCGTCGTCTCAGCTGCTATTTTTTGACGACGGTTCGTCGTCGTCGGGGGCATCACTGCATCTCGATTTCCCGCGGCGCACAATCGCGGCGTTATTATGATGGTTAACCCTTTGAGGCATAATGGTAAGTATACTTACCATCTATTTGTTCTCACATTTTCATGAAATATTTTATATTTGAAATATTTTATATTCTTGTCGGGCTTTTTGCGTTTTTTAGCTTCTTATGTGTTATGGGAACACACATGAAAGGTTGAAAAGTGTTTTGCATAAGTTGTCCATTTATTATAAATAAACAAGGTGTGAAAAATACACATTTTTACAGAAAAAAATCATTTCCCACGAACTATAAGTGAATTTTTTGCTCAAAATTAACATTTGGGGGTTTTTTGGGTCGCTGATTATGAATCTGAGATCCAAATTCTAGAATTTATTTTCCGAGATGGCGGGTCATAACATTTTTATATGATTAGCTGAAATTGTACTTTGGTTAGCTTTCAAGGTCGCTGATTACGAATCCGAGGTGCAAAACTCATTGTCCAAGATTGCAGATTCAAGTTAGCAGATCATGGAATTCTAATATATTTACCTGACATTGTCTTCCGGTTAGTTTTTTAGGTTTCCGACTACAAATCTGAAGTGAAAAATGACGACTTTGAAATGGAAATTGTGAACGTCGATTTTGACCTCGATAATCCCCTGGTGGACAAATCCTTGTCAAGATTGTTGAAGCTTTCTCTTTTTTGGCCATCATCTTGAATCTGCTATCTTTAATTTTGAAAATCTGATAACAGATTTGTAATCAGCGACCCCAAAAATCCCACAATACCTATTGTCACCGTAATTATCGCGATTTTTCATATTTGCAGCCGCCATCTTGAATCCGCCATTTTGAATTTTGAAAATCTGATAACGGATTCGTTATTAGCGACTCCAAAAGCCCCACAATACCCATTGTCACCGAAATTATCGCGATTTTTCATTTTTGATCCGCCATCTTGAATTTCGAAAATCTGATAACGGATTCGTCACAGCGACCCCAGGAACCCCCGTATATAAATTTTCATGTGATTCGGATTTTCTGAAAAATACGTGCCACAAAGGGTTAATGGAGATTGATGAGTGCTTTCTCTCTCGCGACTACGATTAACCGCACGCGCGTTTCAAGCCCCCCCGACGATTTAATCGCTCGCTCGATGTGCATACCTCGATGTGAGCGCGTCGCTCCATTCGGTCTCGACGGTGATGCGCGGCTCGGCGTCGATGTCGTTCTCCCATCGCGGTGACGTCACCACCGCCTGATTGCCCCGGTACCAGGCGACTGTGCCCAGATCATGTGGACCTTGTGACATGAGACACGTTAGCGTCAACAGGCTCCCGGTCTTCACGTAGATATCCGGTGGGCCGATTATTCTGGCTCGCGCTTCTGAAACACACAGAGAGAGCGTCGCTGCGATGAGTACGGGGCGGTTCCGAGGGAATATCAATTAATTTAAGTGCCGATCGAGGAGACCCTCGCACTCGCTCGGGACCAGAAACCTTGTAGATATGGGCTGCCAATGAATAGGGAGAGGGTTGTCCGGAGGCGGTCAGAGAGAGAGACTTATCTCTCTCTCTCTCTCTCTCTCTTTATAAGCGTCCGGAAATGTATTTCACGCATGCCTGGCTTGTACCATATAATATTGGGTTGGCAACTAAGTGATTGCGGATTTTAAATAAGAATGAAAATTCAAAATTTTTGCTTAAAAATATAACTTTATTCAATTAGGTACTGTCCGTTTTTGTCGATGACCTTTTGCCATCGTTCAGGCAGTGATCGTAATTCCACGTTCATAAAATTTCTGATCTTTGCTATCAAAAAACTGAATTAAGTGTGATTTGACATCATTAGCGTCATTAAAAATTTTATCATTTAAGGAGTTCTGCATGGAACGAAATAAATGGTAGTCTGAAGGCGCAAGGTCAGGGCTATATGGCGGATGTGACAACACATCCCAACTCAGATCCAATAATTTTTGACGAGTGACCAAAGATGTGTGGGGCTTTGCTTATCATGGTGGAAAACAACACCCTTACGATTTGCCACTTCTGGCCGCTTTGCTTGAATTGCATCGCTCAGTTTGGCGAGTTGTTGAACACGTACACGTTTGAATTGATCGTTTGGTTATTTGGTAAAAGTTCAAAGTGCAGAATTCCTTTATAATCCCACCAGACTGACAGCATAATCTTTTTTTGATGAATCTCTGCTTTTGATGTTGTCTGGGTTGGTTCATCTTGCATCACTCACGATCTCTTCCGATTAATGTTGTTATAAACTATCCACTTTTCGTCGCCAGTAATTAGTCTTTTCAGAAATGGATCAATTTCGTTGCGTTTCAGATGCGAATCGCAGATGCTAATGCGTTGCGCCAAATGAATTTCTTTAAGCTGGTGAGGGATCCATTAATCGAGTTTCTTGACATAGCCAAGCTTTTTTAAATTTTTTTCAATGCATGTATGCGATACTTCTCTGCAATATCACGTGTTGTGATATTGCACAATGACGATCTGAATCGATAATGGCCTTGATATGGGTCTCATCGACTTCAACTGGACGGCCAGATCGTTGAGCATTTTTCAATGAAAAATCACCAGAACGAAATCTGGCAAACCAATTTTGACACTGCCTTTCTTTCAAGGCTTCATTCCCATATATGGCACATAACTTCTTGTGTGCTTGCGATGCGTTCTTGCCTTTTCGGAAATAATACAATAAAATATGTTTGAAGTGCACGTCTTGCTCTTCCATTTTTAAATTGGGATAAAAACAAAACTAAAGAACTAATCGATATAATTTTTGTACTAAATGAAAGGTAGAAGTCCAAACAATAAGAAAAAAATATAGATTAGGTACTTTGAACACGTTAACGAAACAAAAAAAAGTGTAAAATCCATCTGTCGACAAAATCTGCAATCACTTGGTTGCCAACCCAATACAATGATTCTCAGTTGAATAATTCATGCTTAAAAAACATACTGCTACTGTCAACGGTCATACCACGCTGAAAACACCAGTTCTCGTCCGATCACTGCAGTTAAGCAGCGTTGGGCACGGTTAGTACTTGGATGGGTGACCACTTGGGAACACCGTGTACTGCTGGCGTTCATTTTCTTTTTTTTTTTAATAATTTCTCGAGATTCCTGTATACAGCTTTCACACATTTATTTATTTAGCCCACACGATCGAGAAAAATTTTGCAGCGGTGCTGTATTTTTCAAATCACTGTTTACAAAATTGAGAAAGAGAGATGAGCTTTAATTTTCTCTTCCTTCTTCCCTAATTATTTCTTCGAGTTCTTTTTTTATTTTAATCATATACTTATTTATTATTAACGCACACGGTTAAAATTTTGAAGCTGTCCAATGATCCCCAGTTGGCTAATTAATGCTTAAAAGAGACGTTACTAACGTCAACGGTCATACCACGCTGAAAACACCAGTTCTCGTCCGATCACTGCAGTTAAGCAGCGTTGGGCACGGTTAGTACTTGGATGGGTGACCACTTGGGAACACCGTGTACTGTTGGCGTTTATTTTTTTTATTTTGTTGAATCATTTCTCGAGATTCCTGTGTACAGCTTTCACACATTTATTTATTTAGCCCACACGATCGAGACAAATTTTGCAACGGTGCTGTATTTTTCAAATCACTGTTTACAAAATTGAGAAAGAGAGGTGAGTTTCAATTTTCTCTTCGTATCAATAGTAGCGATGGACAATCACGATTTGACCTTCAGAAAATCAATCTTTCTTCTCCGAAAAGTCGATTTCTTTTTTAAATCGATCTTTTCTTGCTCGATTTTTCTACAGACCGATTCTTTTCAACAGAGAATCGAATGTTTTGTTGAACGAAGAATTGAACTGAAGTCAATGTTCGAAAGAATCGATTTGTACAAAAACCGAGCAGAAAAGGATGAATTAAAAAAATCGACTTTGGTGGGAAAAGATTGATTCTCTGAAAATCGAATCGAAATCGCCCATCACTATCATATCGTTAATTCTGATTGGTGTATACGATTGTTGTGAGATCGTACGCAATGTATATGCTGCATTATCACAAACAATGTGAAATTGAGCTTATCGTTGAGCTTATCGTTGAGAATGTCCTTTAATTATAAACGATTATTTTAAGTAGTTATTATCATTTTAAAAACAACGTTATAAATAATATTTCGAAAATACATATGACTTGCGCTGTGATATATTCTGCAGGCAATAGCGTTTCTTTTCACTCGCGTGTATCAATGAAATAGTCGTCAGTTTAAAACTGAGACAATGTACAGTCGCGTGCATTAATTTGCGAGAGGAGAAGCATTGTTTCTGCACTCCGGCCGAGTTTAGCGCGAAATTGTCGGAAGAAGCCATAATTCCAAACAATAGACGTCTCTAAGGCCGATGTATGTTTCCGGGATATTGTAAAGTTTTTACTAACAAATTGAGGGGGAAAGAGTGGATAAGTCATCAAGCTGAGGTGTTTGTTTATATTTCACGCTAGACCCGGTTTCCGACAATTGGCGGAGAATGACGGCCGGGGTGGGAGAACAATGCTTCTCCTCTCGCGGCGCGAATTAATGCACGCGTGTATACAGTCTGTCCAATGGAAAAGGTGACTGATTAAGTCTTCGTGTAACTAGTAACACCATCTTTGAATGAATACATATTATGTGATGTGATGACACACTCAAGCTTTCATCACCAGACATTTCAAGGCGCTAACATCTCTGAGTCGTTCGTAATGACGTAAAATGTGGTAGTACCTTTCGAGTGTCGCGCGTCGGTCGAAAAAGCAACAATGGAACAACGAGCTAACATTAAATTTTGTTTTTAAATTGGGTAAATGTGCCACAGTTTCTAAATGATTGAAACTGTTTGTGGTAGCAAAGCAATGAATCGTAGGAACGTTTTCAAGTGGTTTGCAAGATTTCGTTATGGCAGAGAAGCACTGAAGACCATCCACGGCCAAGTCACTCAGTAACGGTCCGAACTAAAGAAAACGGCCAAAAAGCGGTTGAAATTCTCCGAAATGATCGTTGTGTGTCTGCCAGGCTCATCGAGGAGCTCACTGGCATTCCTAAATCCACTGTTCATCTCATTTTAATGCAAAAGCAAGATTTTTTGGCCAAGAAAAGTATTGTGGTGCTCGATCATCCCCCGTATTCGTCTGATTTAGCTCCGTGCGACTTCTGGTTGTTCTCAAAACTGAAAATTGCCGATGAAAGGAAAGCGTTTCGACATCATTCGAGACATCCAAAAGTGACTTTGACCGCGGCTTTGGAAAAAGCTTTAATTCCAGAAAACGAATACCAGGAGTGCTTCGAAAAATTTTACGACCGCTTCCAGCGTTGTATTGATTCACAAAGAGACTATTTTGAATAAGAAATAATAAAAACTAAAAATAAATAACGTCTTGTATTTCATTTCGCAACGGTCATTGGGCGAACTGTGTGTACATTTGCCGACACCTTCGAGGGAGAAAGAGAGAACCGCTAAACAGCATGCTTCTCAGGCTGCAGTCTGAAATACGCTTACAGTGCTCGGACGGTCGGTCCGATTCACGTCGTGAGCGTTTTTCATAAACAAGTAACGTCACAGATCTATGCTCACGACGCCCATGATCCAGAGCTGGGTTGCCATGAGCATCGTAAGCACGTGACGTCAGATAAGCGGGAGAAAGTTACTATTTGAAAAGAAGACGCTAGCATCCACGGAAAGACAAGAAAAGGTTCATAAAAAAGATTTTTTTATTGCAAAATGCAAATGTGGGACAAATTAATTTCTATCCCTATCTAGAAAGCAGTAGTGAAATATTAATATTGAAGCTGTCGCCAGAAAATGCGGCGAGGGCCAGTACAGGTAAAAAAAAATGTTTATCAATATATAATGATAAGATAATGATAAGGTTAATTTGAGACATTTATATTCTAAGATATATATTTATTTTTTGTATGATAAGGACAATTCTAATGGGAATTCAAAAGTTGCAGAGAACAATCTGTAAAAAAAAAAGAATAAACATTTCATAATCTAATTTTACCTAATCTATGCAAAATTGCTCTTAAGTTAGAATTTTTATTTAATATTTATTGAGTAGTCAATCATATTTAAAATGTATGCGTTCTAAATTCTTCTGCAGTGTAGTTTGGAACAGTTCTTTCAATATAATCTTTCAAGCGAGATCTTATTTACACTTTACCTTTTCGTTTATTTAAAATTAACTTTACAGCCTTTATAATATTTTTTATTTCTTCTCCTCCGCTGTCATCACTACTCTTAAATATCTATTACAAATTTTAAATCACTATCATCATTTTCACAACAATATTCTAAACATTGCGGCAACATTGCGGTTTGTGCCACAAAGTTGGCCAAAATTATTTTTTTACGAATT